ACACACACACACACACACACACACACACACACACACACACACACACACACACACACACACACACACACACATATAGATCCTGACATGTCTTGAATCAAGAAGAAGTTTTTTGCTGAATTCACAACAATTAGTACATCTTGAGGTTGTGGTAGTTGGAGTGGTAGTGATGGTGGGTGGTGCTGAGGTTGTTGCTGGTGTAGTAGAAGAAGTGGTGGATGGTGAGGTGGTAGTTGTTTGTGGATTAGTTGTGGTTGTTGTGCGTTGAGTTGTGGTGCTGATGGGTGGAGTTGAGGTAGTTGTGGGTGGAGTAGTAGTGGTGGTTGTGGGTTGAGTACTTATGGCTGTTGTTGGTAGAGTTGTTGTAGGTGCGGGTTGAGTAGTAGTGGTTGTGGTTGGAGTCGTTGTAGGTGTGGGTGGAGTAGTGGTGGTGGAAGGTGGAGTGGTGGTAGTTGTAAGTTGAACAGTGGTGGTTATAATTTGTGGAGTTGTGGTATTTGTGGGTGGAATAGTTGTGCTGGTGGGTAGAGTGGTGGTGGTGGGTGGAGTTGAGGTAGTTGTCGGTGGATTAGTAGTGGTGGATGTGGATGGAGTTGTGGTAGTGGTTGTGGGTGGAGTTTTGGTGGTGTTGGGTGGAGTTGTGGTTGTGGTAGTTGGAGTGGTAAATGTGGTGGGTGGCGCTGAGGTTGTTGCTGGTGTAGTAATAGTGGTGGTGGGTGGTGAGGTGGTAGTTGTTTGTGGATTAGTTGTGGTTGTTTTGGGTGGAGTTGTGGTGCTGATGGGTGGAGTTGAGGTAGTTGTGGGCGGAGTAGTAGTTATGGTTGTGGATGGAGTTGTGGTCATTTTGGGTGGAGTAGTAGTGGTTGAGGTGGGTGGAGTTGTTGTGGATGGAGTAGCAGTAGTGGTTTAGGGTGGAGTTATGGTTGTGCTAGTTGGAGTTGTGGTTGTGGAAGGTGGAGTGGTAGTAGTGGTGGGTGGAGTTGAGATTGTCGTTGGTGGAGAAGTAGTGGTGGTGTGTGGTGAGGTGGTAGTTGTTTGTGCATTAGTGGTGGTTGTTGTGGGTGGAGGTGTGGTAGTTTTTGATGGAGCAGTTGTGGTGGTGCTGGATGGAGTGGTGGTGGTTATTTGTAGTGAGGTGGTAGTTGTTGGTTGATTAGTGGTGGTATTTTTGGGTGCAGTGTTGGTAGTTGTGGAAGTGGTTGTAGTTGTTGGAATGGTGGTTGTTTTGGATACGGTAGTAGTTGTTGTGGCTGAAGTGGTAGTAGTTAGTGGATTAGTGATTGTAGTTGTGGGTGGAGTACTGGTGGTTTTTGTGGGTGGAGTGGTGGTAGTTGTGGATGGAGTAGTAGTTGGATGGATTGGTGGTAGTTGTGAAGGGAGTAGTAGCGGTGGTGGTGGGTGGAATGGTAGTAGTTTGTGGAGCCATGCTTGTAGTTTGTAGGGTTGTTGTTGGTTGTGGAAATGTGATAATTTTAGGTGAAATGGTGGTTGAAGTTGTGGTAGTTGTGGGTGGAGTAGTGGTGGTGGGTGGAGTGTTGGAAGTTTTTAGTGGAGTCGTGGTTGTGGTTGTAGTGGTGGTAGTTCTGGGTGGAGTTGTAGTGGTGTTGGGTGGAGTAGTGGCAGTTGCGGGTAGAGCAATAAGTGGTGGTTGTGGGTGGACTTGTATTGGTGGTGGCTTTAATGGTGGTAGTCATGGGTGGAGTAGTAGTAGTAGTAGTGGTTGTGGTGAGTGGAGTGGTAGTAGTTGTGGGTGGTTTAGTGTTGGTTGTTGCTGGTGGAGAAGTAGTAGTTGTGGGTGGAGTAGTTGTGGTGGTGGGTGGAGTGGTGGTGGTTGGTCGAGTTGAAGTAGTTTTGGGTAGAGTAGTAGTGGTGGTGGTGGGTGGATCTGTGGTGGTGGTGGGTGATGCTGAAGTAGTTGTGAGTGGTGCATTACTTTTGGTGATGTGTGGAGTACTGGTGGTTGTTGTTGGTGGATTTGCCATGGTCGTGTGTGGAGAAGTAGTGGTTGGAATTGTGGTAGTTGTGGGTGGAGTAGTAGTTGTGGTGGTGGGTGGAGTGGTGGTAGTTGTATGTGGAATAGTGGTGGTTGCTGTTGGTGGAGTTTTGGTACTTGTGGGCAGAGTAGTGGTAGATCTGGGTGGATTAGTGTTGGTTGTTGGTGGAGTTGTGGTAGTTGTGGGTGGAGTAGTTGTGGTGAATGGAGTGGTGGTGGTGGCATATATATACTGTACATACATACATGCCTACATTCATAAATATTGTCAGTATATACACATAGACATATATACACACTCAGTGACCAGTCAGAACTCCCCGGATCAGAACACCTGTCTGTGAGCAGTTGTGAACATGTGTGTATATACAAGATTTCTCCAATGGAATATTTAATAGTGACTGTGGAGGACCGGAGACCCAACCCCCAAGACACGAGGCAGACATAGGGAAGACCAGAGCCCCAAGGGGCACCCGCACGAGAAGATCCACCCACCCCCCCAGATCAGACCATAGGGGAGAATTGGAAGA